ATATCAATCTAAATCATTCCAGGGTAATGTAATTAATTTTATTGAATCCAACTAACGAAAAAGTTAAGGGGTCTTATGTTTCGGATTTACAATTGTTTTATTTTGACTCACTTATTTCGATAATTTTTATATTTCAAATATTTTCAGGTATATATTGAAGGATACTTGGTATAAGTTGTAAAGAATATGAAGTTGTTTCTTTATTTTGTGTATGTGTGTATTTTTTGTGTTCCGTCTTTTGTAAAGTTAACTAATTATACATAATTATGATGATTTTGGGTATGGAATGATGGTTGTTTTGGTGGTTTGGGTATGTAGTGATGATTGTAAGTTTTGTAGACAGGTTTATATTTTTCTGTATATCTATTTTTAAAAGAAATTCTGCATAAATTTCTTGAAATTAGTAGGGATTAACTTGATGTTTTGGTGGTTGGATATGTGTTGATGATTGAATATGTATTAATTTCGTTACGCCGTGCCTTCAGGCATGGACAATTACTAGTCTATATTATAAAATAACTCATACTTTAAATTTTATCGCACAAATATTTTTTTCCTTAAAACTATCATTTGTCATTTAGCTCGCATCATTCCTTTGTCAGACGCCATCTTGCCCTTCTCCATCTCTTTTTTTTTTTTTTTTTCCTTTTTCTCTCTCTCACCAGTGCCAACGACATAGTCAGAGCCACCGCCATCGCCACTGCGCCACAACCTTCCTCTTCTTTCCTAGGTATCCTTTTATCATCTTCTTTCTCTCACACACACCCAGATAACACCCCCAACCCCCAACTCTCCCCTCTGCGAACACTGCCCCCACCCAAGCTTTCCCCCTCTTGGAAAAACCCCCTCTACGTTTGAACCCCTCCTCTTATACGCCCTCTGCGCAACCTTCCCCCTACACACACAAACACAAACAGAACACACACCACAACACACTAAAGACATACACCCACGCTCTTCACACACCCACACACTCATGGGTTCTCTCTCTCTTAGCCTACCAGCGCCACCGTCACCAGCAAAGCACCACCGTCACCGCCATAACACCATTGTCACAACAACACAGCACCACCGTCAAGACCACAACCATCTCCTAGGTAATTATCTCTATCCCCTCCCCTTCCCTCTTTTTGCCTACCACTAAAATGTTTGTTGAAATGCCCAAAACATAGACCCCAATCATAATGCCCATAAATTGTTTGTTGAAATGCCTGAGAACACACGAACACACAAATCAAACCCACAATGTGCACACCCTATACCCTCACACACCATTATGTGTTGACACACTGCTGTCTACAAGCACATCTCTTTCCCACCCTCTCCCTTGCTTCTTCTACTCTTTTCCTACACAAACAGTACACACCCAAACCCCCCAACCATCACATACCCAGACCCACACAAAACCCCTCAGCCAAATTTGAGTGTTAATTTGGATTTTTTTAATTTGAGTGCTTTCAATTGGTGGTTTTCCATTAAGGGATATATGTGTGCGTGTGTGTGGTACTCCCCTCCACTCTTTTCTGTTCTTCCTCTTCTTTACAATAAAAACACACATACATCAGACCACATTGCACCCCATCGCACACATAGCACATATACACACAGAATTGCACACCCATTGGACACACACACAGAATGCACACAACACACACACAACTGAGAGTTTTTATAAGGGAGAGATTACATGATGTTTTAGGTTCAAAGGCTATGAGCAAACTATCTGTTGTGTCTTGTCAATGTTTATTTTCCATGTTATTCTTTTTAGGACATTGCTTCTTAGGCCTTCTTAATATGAGGGGGTTCAATTTGGGCAAAAATGAAAATCACAAAGCATCACAAGAGGGTTTATTAGGGTTTTTTAATTGTAAGAATCAAATTACATGCAATATTTTTTATTCCATCTTTTTTAGTTGGGGCATTTGAGTTTTTAGAATTTTAATTTAATTGCATCATTTTTATCTTGCTCTCATTTTTGTTATTGAGTTCAAATGCTTATTTCTTAGTTTTTTGCCATTGCTTTTGGCACAAGGACAAAAATTTTTGGTCCTGAAAATTTGGAACCATTACCAATGACTCAATGAGATTTAAAAACTTAAGGTTCAAATGAACCCCAAACCTTTGCATTTGCTTAAGGTTTAAAGACTCTGTTTAATGTAATTGGTATTGTAGATTATCCTTCTTGATTCTTGGTAATTGGAATTGATTTTTGTTATAATGTAACTTTTGTATGGTACCAAGATTTATATATTATCCTTCTTTTTTTTGGTAAGTTTTAATTGGTATTGTTGATTATGCTTCTTGATTCTTGATAATTAGTATTGATTTTTATTATAATGTAACTTTTATATGGTATCAAAATTCATATAGTATCCTTCTGTTTTTGGTAAGTATTGTAGATTATCCTTTTTTGTGTGAGATTAGAGCCCAACCTCCTTGGGATAGCCATGGCCAATCCATGTGGCACCTTTTATAACTTCACACCAATTGGTATATTTTGCTAGAATGAGCAGATAAGGGTTGTAAAACAATTGGGAAGGAGAATGGCTTGATGGGGAGGTGAGCATTGAGTGATGTATTGTGAAAGAGCCCTTTGTGCCGTATATGAACTACATCCTCATTCGCTGAAATATTGAGGCCATTACAAATCAGATCATGCATTAATTTGTGCTTTGTATTGTTCATATTTGTTATAATTGATTTTAGGTGGACATCCAATTGTTATAAGTTGTTTATTTGATTGATTTTTCTCCTTGATGTTCACTAAAAGTGGCCATTTCAAATTCCTCGCGAACTTTGTAGGATTGCCACTCAAATTTTTCTTTGTTGGTTGCTTCTTAGCATTTTTGTTTGCAGATTATTGCAAGGTCTGCAAATGGAATCACAATTGCTAATTTGCTTGAAGTTTGAAATCACAGCCCCGGTATCGAATTATTTTTTGCCGACAAGTTTGATGTCTGATGCTTATTGAAAATATTTATTTTCCTTTATTTTTTCACCCCTGTTTTGCACTGAATTTGTCCAGTCAAATGGTCTAAAACACTGTGCATATTAATTTATTTATCAATATCACTGTAATTTTGGTTGGATAAGGAGGATATTGTTGTTTGTTAGTTTATTTATCAGCCCCTGTTTGTTGATTGATCTCTTGAGCTTAAGTGAGCTAAATGATTTTATTGAATTTCAAGTTTTTATCTTTCTTGAACTCCACAAATGATTATGATTCCCTCATTGAGTATGATGTTCCTAACTTTTATTCCTTGATTTGTGGGGCCATTGTATTGAAGATAGCATGAACAAGAAAAAATTAAGAAAGAAAATCTTGGCATTAGGTCAATGTTTTTCGAGTAAGCCTCATATCTTGTTACATGATATATTGTTATGACTTCAATCTCTCGGCAAATATCCATATCCAATTGAATCCAAAGTTGAATGGCGTGTTGTGGCATGTGTTTCTGTAATATGATATGGTAAGGTTATGAAAACAAGAATGATTCTAAACATTCCTTAATTGCCACTAATTCTTGGCAGTCCCAAATTTGTTGGTGGGCTATTTTAGTAGATGTATGAATCAAAGAAAAATTCAAAAATTTAGCATAAGGATAACTTTTTGTTGGGTCCTATTTTTTTAGTTAATGATGGATGGTTACAATGAGCAAAACATTGAAAAAAACTAAAATGGAAAGAATAAGCTAGGGGAAAGAGGAAATTTCTAAATCCTTTACAGTTCCAACGTCAATTATTGTTGTGATTATATCAAGTTGTCATTGGTGGCTATAAAAAAAAGATATAAAATAAGCATTTGTGATAAGAGTAGTTTTATTGTAAATACTTATTTTTGCTATTCTTTTGCATAAAATATTTTGGCATGTTGTTTATAATATGCACTTAGGTTCCAGATAATAGAGGAATGAAGTTTTTGTGAGATACATGAGGTGACAGTACGAGTGTAAGAGGTAAAAATATGAGATGACACTTTTTCCATGAAAGGTCAGTTATATAGGTTTTAATAGGAATGTTGATTCGTTCTTAATGTTGCAGATGCTGCGATCAAGTGATACCATCAGGGAAGGAAATATAAGGGACACGTAAGAGAAAAGATAAAGACTTCAATGTAAAGCTCATTGCTTGGTATAGGTGAATTGACTTGCAAATCTGATTGATTACGTTGAATATATGTGTCTGTGTAGGTCATGCTAATGGTTTCAATTTATAAGCTATTGAGGGAGGATGAGATAGTAATATGTACACCGGTGTTTGTCTCATATAATGAGAAGAAAAGAGAAATTTGTTCCTTGCATTCCTTGGCAACATAAGTGAACTATTAGTTCTAATATTTTGGCTTCTCTTTTTTTTTTTTTTTTTTTATTGTATTAGGGGTTTTTTTTATAAAGAAATTTTAGGTTTCAATTAGAAAGTATGTAAATTGTGTATACTGGTTGACATTTTCAAAGGTTTTAGAGGAAATGCCTCCAATTTTTTTTGAATTTATTGCAATGAGAAATTTTGTTTGGCCTCTTAAATGAATTGTATGTGTCAAAGCATATTGTTGGCATTGTGGAAAGAGACCTTTAAAGAACCTCCATTTGTACATTGGGTGGGAAGAGATTGACAAAATTGGCCTCAGAAAAGAGACAAGTGATCAATTGCTACACCATTGAGCAGTGAAATGAAACAAGTATGAATTATTACTACACCATTGATAAGTAATTGATTTCTTTAAATTTTTAGTTTAATGTTTGATTGAATGATTAATACTCTAGCAGTTGTGGTTTTCTCTTTTTGATTGTGATATGGGCGAAAAACGCCATTTTGTGTTGAAGGCCAACGGTGAGCCTCAAGACCTATCCACAGCAAGCTGGGACCATTAACAAACTTTATTTCTTTGTGGGTTCAAGAATTTGATAGGTGATGGCCCATTTAATTTGCTATGTATTTTACCTTACATACTGATGCTTATACATTGCAATTGACCTCACACTGGAATTATAGAAGATAAAATGGTGAGGTTTAAAATGTTTGAATGGAAGGCTTACAAGGTATATTCTTGAGCTTTGCTAAGCTTTTTTAGTCCTAAAAAGTCTCTCAGCTAATCAATAGTCTCTAATAAGAGGGTTTCTATAAATTGAAGTTCACCGATTGTTTGCCTAAAGGAATCATATTGATCACCATGGAAATAATCCAAAGGTGTCAAAGTAAGAATTAGTAGAGCCATCTATATTGCATGAAATAGTTAATTATTTCAAACCTCAATGGCACTAAACTTAAAAAGAATATAGTACCAGGAAATTGGAAAGTTTTATCTTTCATAATTTAGTAGTTAAGATTTTGACAGTATAGCGTTGTGCTCTTGCAGCTTTTGAACAGAAGCAATTGTGAACAAACGTCATTCTGAATAAATTTAAAGTTTGAGAAGTCGCATAATTCAACAGCCCCCCCCCCCCCCCCCCCCCCCCCCCCAAGCATGATACACATGACACAGCAAGTATAAGGATCTTTGGTAGAAGTGGAATCAAAACAAAGACCACGAACAAGCCAATGCCATAAATTTCAAGGGATGGAAATTGAGATTGGTTCCAGCTTATGGATTTATCCCACTATAATCAAAAAACCCCTTTAACATAAGCACAACAATAAGCTGTATAATACTATGGACGTGAATTGTAACCAAAGCAATTACTTTGGACTGACCCGAGAAATTCAAGAAGCAATTGAAAATTGCAAATTACGAAGGGGTGTTGGCAGGTAATCTACAACTTTGAGGAAGTAACTTTCACGAAAATTCCAGAGACTTGGCTTCTCGGAAAATAGTTCTAGCGGAGGAGCTTGCAAACTCAAAATGTAGCAAATAAATGAGCTATTTATGTGTATACACATTGATCTAAATCAATTATAAATGATGAGGCACATATTGGTTTTATGCACCACAGGTCAAGTGATCAGTAATTAATACTGTAATTAAGTAGAGGGAGTAGCTCAAGAAAGACAAAGATATAGAGTGGTTCGGTCAACGTGACCTACGTCTACAATGAAGAGCTAGGATGGCCTGGGTATTTTATTACTTTGAGAAGTGTAGGGAGAGCAGGGAGATACAAGCAATGAGAGAGAGATAAAAGTAATAGCAAATGTACTCGATCATGTGTGATGCCCCCCAAGTATTGGTGGGGCTTATAATTTATAGTTGCCCCCTAACATATTGAGGCAGTTTATCAGTAACTAAAAGACTAATTTGGTGGAGGCGTCATATTCAAAACGGGTAAGGCTGTTGCGAGGCTCTCCTCAAGATCAGGTCAGAGATGCTTGACCATTGACTTTTTCCAATGCAGCATGGATGAGGCTCTCAGGATGACCCTACCTTCCTTTATGATGTAGCTCCTCAAACCTTGATGAGCTTGACTAGGCGTGGACCCCTTTGGGCTGGACCAACTGGATCTTTTTAAGTTAGGCTCTTAATTTAAACATAGCTTACAACATGAGTTGGGCCATTGGGCTTGACCTATCATTTGCCCCCTAAAGCCCTGTATCCAATGAAACTTGGAGAAGAGGGTATTTCGTTGAACTTGGATTCCGGCTGACAGAGATTCCTTTTGACTGATGTCGCTTGCCCTTCTTGATATATAAACTCCTTTTTCCTGTAGGACATATCCTGACTTCCCTCTTTTTTATTCTAGAAGAACCCTTGGTTATAAATAGGAAATTTTCACCCTTTTTCCATTCCATACAAATTTGAGAGAGAGGGAGCTCTTCTATGAGATTCTTCAAGAACAAAGGCAAGAGGTGAGATTCTTGAGTTGAGCATTCAGAGGGCAATGTCGATTGAAGGGGAAGATGTGGAAGAGTTTGTGAATCTTGGTGAGGAACTTAGAGAGATCGGTGTTGTCTAGGAGCTTAGGCGAAATCCCTTGAAACAAGGGGGTGTTCGATGTCGAGGCAAGGAATGGGAGGAGAAGTGAAGGCGAGGAGAACAAAGGCAAGCCATGGGTGCCGCCAGGCATGGCAACCCAGGTCACTAAGATCGAGGCGCCAAGGGCGCTGTCTAGTGTGGCAACCCAAATGGCGTTGATCCGTGGGCAAGTTGATCGTGGAGGGAGCGTTGAAGATAAGATAGTGATCAGTGAGGTCGAGGCTCCAGGGGTCGACATTGAGGGAAACGCACCATGGGCCCTGTGCACCGATAAGTGTGTAAGGGGAGCTGATGTCAAGGCGTTGTTGGTGACTGGCGCTGATGGTGAGGCACCGCTAGCACTAGGTAAGACACAGCTGGTGACAAGCGCTGATGGTGAGGCACTGGGTGAGATGCAGCTGGTGAAGGGCGCCGATGGTGAGGCACCGCTGGTGTTGGGTGAGACATAGCTGGTGACAGGCTCTAATTGTGGAGCAGGACTGGGGCTCCGACGTGCTGGGCAAGGATTGGTGAATACTGATATGGCCCCAAGAGACACTGGGCTTGGTCAAGTAGATGCGCAGGCAACGCCAAGGGCCACTAGGCACAGTCAGGCGGTGTTGTGTACAACTGGGTGGTTATTATTGGGTGAGTCAGGTGTGGGGGAGGTAGACACCGGGCATGGATCTTTGCGAGCAGAGAGTTCATCAGGCATTCTTTGTGGCACTGATTATGATCAAATGATGGGTAATATGGCCCGCTCAGGTGGAAGCCAATATAGTAAAATACCTCAAAGCTCTCCTAGTAGTGGCCTAAGTAATGCTTCTCGCCCTTACAATAGCAAACATCGGGGAAAGGTAGCTCTTGATGACAATGGATCAAAAGTGAGAACCATTTCTAGTATCCTTAACACTAACTCTGATATTTTACTGATTGTTGCCACTTATAATATTCTCCTAATGGTATTGCGTCGTCGAGCCAAGATGGGTGACCTGTTTGTGATGAATCCTTTGAAGACATTGCTATCTATGAGGAGGTGCTTGAGGCTGGGCTAAGGTTCCCAATGTCTCCCTATATTTGTCACATTCTGCATTGTTTTTCATTTACGCTAGGGCAGTTGGCGCCCAACGATTGGAGAGTTTTACTGGGGTTTCTAGCACTGTGGATTAAGGTGCATCATGAGGATGCTTCTCCTAAAGAGTTTTGTGCAGATTATACTCTGAGTGAGACTTCTGCTCCCAATCGTGGTTGGTACTACTTTGCTCCGAGGGGAGGTAAATTGATTACTGGATTGCGCTCTAACTGCAACAGCTGGAAGACTTGTTTCATGTTTGTTAGAGGAGAGTGGGCTTTAGAGGCTGATAGAGCTTTGGTAACAACAAAATGGGACGCCCATTCTTATCCCTTTTCCTTTGCCTTTTTTGCAAATGTGTACTCATCACCTCCTTTCCAGGTTCTCCAGTGCTCTCTAAAGATCAAGAATGAATGTTATAGGCTATGAGGGCTCACCCTGTGAAAGACTTCGGAGCTCTCATGCTCCAAGAGGGTGGAGCTAGAGACTCTTCTACAGACAATGCTAGGGTTGGTACATACTCTTCGAGGCCGGGTGGTTCCTCCCTGAAGAAAAAGGTATGCTAGTTTCCTTGTATTTTCTTTCTTTGCCTAGTCTTTCATAGGATAACACTTTTATCCTTCTGTAGTGGACAGAACAGTGGTGGAGTCCCGTTTTCCACTAGGAGTACTCCTCCTCCTAAGGTGGCGAACGTCAGTAATGCTTTGGCAAACTCTTATTAGATGACCCCTCCAGTGGCACCTCCTCAGTCAACGACTTCTTCAGAGGTTACAGTCACTCCAGAGACTCCCTTTTCGGCCACACCTCCTGCCCCTCGTTCATTGACTCCTCCTGAGGGGACTTCTACAAGAGCACCTGCTCATTCTAGCTCCTTGTTGGGTGATGTGCAAGTCATCAGGGAGCAACTTGAAAGGTTTCTATTTCTAGCGGACATTAGTGAGGTTAGCGCTCTGGGCACTGAGGGTGTCATTGACACTGTCCTGGAAGGTCTAGCTCAGGTAAGGGTTGCTTTGTCCCTTTCTCTGGTCCCTCCTTAGGTACTAACATTCTTTCATCTTCCTTAGGTTTCTGTTGTATCTGTGTGTCTCTTTTCAAGGGCTATTCATTTTCGCTAGCTGAAGTACAATCATGAGGCTATGCAGAAGGAGCTTCTTACTAATCAGGGGAGGATTGTTGAGCTTGAAGCTGATGGTAGGGTTTCCCAGGTTAAGCTTGTGGCGACCCATGCGAGGGTCATGCTTAATAAGGCTGCTTGCATGAGAGCTAAAACAGAGCTTGTGGCAAACCATGAGAGAGCAGCTAAGTTTGAGGCTGAACTTGTGGCAACCTGTGAGAGGGTCGTGCTCAGGGAAGTTGCCCACTTGAGAGCGGAGGCAAAGGTGAAGGAAGCTCACAAGAGGGTTTCTCGAGCTGGGGCAGATCTACTATTTGCTCGTGAGAGGGTCGTCAAGGTTGAGGCTAATTTAGAGAGTGGCCTTACAGATGCCTTCATTGATGGCTACGAGGAGCTTCGGGGAAAGATTTATGTTGCTTTCTTTGATATTGACCTTTTAGACTTTGTGCCATATGAGACGCCTAATGATGTTGCCATGTGGGTAGTTAGAGTGCTAGGAACTTTTTGATTTTTCTTGTTTTTGTAGAAGGCAGTGTGTAGCCTCCTTTTGTAAAATTGGTTTTTTTGCCAATGATGTTCTTTTGAAATAGAATGCAAGAATGCAAAGAACTTTTGAAGTAAATTTTAAAAAATTTGTTCGATGACTTATACTAAGCAGTGGTGGGTAATAACCCAAAAAAGGTACAATAAAATCAAGTTCTTCAACTTTATTATTTCTTCTCTCTAAGGTGTCATTGGTAGTACCTCTTCAGATGCTCAGAATTCTATGGATGGGGTAAGACCTTCCCCTTAGAATTCTAGATCCTATAGGTGTCTGGCCCCACTACTTATGTTATGAGATAAGGTCCTTCCCAGTTTGGTCCAAGATTCCCTTCTCGTGAATCCTTCATGACAAGGATTACTTTCTTGAGGACTAGGTCTCCTGGTTGGAAGGAACGAAACTTAACCCTCGAGTTGTAGTATCTCACTATGCGGCGCTTGTACTTCGCATTTCGGACCATCACCATCTCTTTTTCCTCCTCCACCAAGTCGAGGTTGACGCAGAGTCCTTCCTCATTATTGATTGGGTTGTGGTGTTGGACCCTTAGAGAATATACTCTGATTGTCACCGGTACGACTGCCTTAATTCTAAAGGTGAGTGAGACAGGATTTTCTCCAGTCGGAGTCCTTGGTGTTGTTCGGTAGGCCCATAATACACCTAAAAGTTTGTCCACATAGAGACCCTTTGCTTTTTCTAGCCTCGTCTTTAGGTTGCGTAGTACTGTTCTAATTGTAACCTCTGTCTGCCCGTTCGCTGGGGCTGGAATGGGGCTGCTTTATTTGGAGGTCGATGCAGAATGAGTTCAAGAGCTTGTTGTTGAATTACTTGATGTTGTCACTGACTATGGCGTGTGGAACTCCAAAGTGGCAGAGCAGGTTTTTCTAGATGAAATCCTTGACCTTTGCATTTGTTATCTTTGCTAAGGATTCGGGCTACCATGACAAACTTGCATTGCCCCTTGCTCAGAGGTAGAGGGCCCAATATTTCGATGCCCTATTTGGAGAAGGGCCATAAACTTGTGATGGCTATCAGTTCCTCTGGTGGCTTCCTGGGTATAGTGGCAAAGCGCTAGCACTTGTCGTATTTCATGGTGTACTCCTGTGCGTCCCTGACCATGCTAGGCCAGAAGTAGCCTTGCCAGAGAGCCTTGTGGGCGAGGAAGCGTCCTCTAGAGTGGTTTCCACAAACTCCTTCATGAATTTTTCGTAAGGCATAGTCAGCTTCTTCTGGGGAGAGACATCGTAGTAGTGACAAGGAGTAACCGTTTTTGTACCAGATTTCTTGCAAAATGGTGAACTTGGAGGCTCTCATCCTGAGCTTCTTGGCTTTCAATGGTTTATCTGGCAATGTGCCCTTCTAGAGGTATGCCCTTATTGGGATCATCCAATTCGATTCGACAAATGCACAGTTGACATTTATGGCTTCCACATCTAGCCTGCTTGGCTCAAACTGGTGATTGATGAATGCTTGTCCTAGTGGAGCTTCCGAGGATGAGGCGAGCCTAGCAAGTGTATTTGCAGCAATATTGTCTTCCCTTGGATGTGACAGATCTGGAAGTAGTGGAACTTAGTCAGCAAGGCTTGCACCATAGTAAGATATTCTTGCATTCTGGTTCTTTTTGCTTCGAACCTTGCCCTTTACTTAGTTAACTATCAACTGAGAGTTACTATAAGTGATAAGATGTTGAAATTCCATTTTAGTTGCCAACCTTAAGCTAGAAAATAGGGCTTTATATTATGCCTCATTGTAGGAGGCGGTGCAGTGGAGCTTCACGGCATACTTGATGAGAGTTCCGTCGAGGCTAATTAGAACTAGGCTAGCTCCACCCCCTTTGTTGGTTGAGGAGCCATCCATGTAGAGCTTCTAGGGAGATGGTGGAAAAGGGACCTTGAAGGCCGTGATGGATTCCGTGGTGCCTACTTTCAGTGCCAGGACTACTGTAAGGGCGCCAGGTTGTCTTGGGTGCTAGGCCTTGGTGCCTAAGTGTTTAGGTGAGTTTATGATGAGGCCTCCTGAGGTGTCAAGGATCCGTTACCTTCTCTCAGCTAGTGTGAGCTCCACAATAAAGTCTGTCAAGGCTTGAGCTTTGATAGCTGCTGTAGGTTGGTACTGGACATCGAACTTGCCCAACTCTTCTACCCATTTAAGGAGTCTTCTCGAGACATCTGGCTTCTCCAAAATTCTCATTAGAGGTTGATTCATGACCACGACAATGGTGTGATTCTGGAAGTAATGTCAGAGACGTCTTGCTGTTGAACTCAGGGCGAGCGCCAGCTTTTCTAGTGTTGAATATCTTATTTCTGCTCTTTGGTATGCCCTGCTCACATAATAAATAGGCTTTTGCACTCTTTCGTTGTCCCTAATGAAGATGAAGCTTACTGCCAATGGGGAAGCAAAGAGGTACAAGTACAAGGTTTCACTTGGTGTGACATGTGAAAAGAGTGGGGGCATAGCCAAATAAGCTTTGAGCTTTTGAAAAGCTTCTTTTGCCTTAGGTCCCCACTCAAAGGCTTTTCGGAGAATCTTGAAAAAAGGCAAGCACTTATCTGTAGACTTGGAAATGAATCTGTTGAGTGCTGTGATTCTTCTTTTGAGGAGCTAGAGCTCCTTGGTTGTGGTGGGTGATTTCATGTCCCGGATGGCTTTGATCTTGTCAGAATTTGCCTCAATTCCCCTCTGGTTGACTATGAAGCCTAAGAACTTTCTTGATCCGACACCAAAGGTACATTTCTCAAGGTTCAGC